GGTGTGAAACCCTGCAGTCAAGGCTGTGCTTTCTGGGGGGGGGGGTGCAGAGAGCCCTTCTCAGGACGGGCTGTGGCTCCGGCTCCTCCGGCTCCTCGAAGTTCCCCTGGCGGGAGGGGGCAGCTCTTCTGCCTCAGGGGCTCCGACGTGTGCGTGGTTCGGGGACAGAAGCACTAACAGGGTCCCCCAGGCGGTGCCACAGGGTAGACGATGCTTCATGACTGTGCCCCGAACACTCGGCCGGGCACCCCTTAGTGCTTATGGATCGAGCAGGAGGTGGATTTTAAAAATACATATATTTTTTATTGATTTCAGAGAGGAAGGGAGAGGGAGAGAGAGAGAAACATCAATTGTGAGAGAGAATCATGGATCGGCTGCCTCCTGCACGCCCCACACTGGGGATCGAGCCCATAACCCGGGCATGTTCCCTGACCGGTAATGGAACCCTTACCCCCTGGTTCATAGGTCGACACTCAACCCCTGAGCCAGGCCGGCCGGGCGTGGGAGATGGATTTAATGGGTTATGTATTGTCATCGGGTGTGTGGTGAGAGGAAGGGAAAGTGTGAGGGGGTCCTTTGTCGGCCTCGGGGGAGACCGGCATGGGTTCGGTGCTTCCCACAGGAACATGCTGCTGCTGGGCACGCGGCAGGTGGGCACGCACGTCACGGGCACGCAGCCGGCACTTAGGGCCCCTGCCGGCTGAACGGCACAGCCTGGGCCGCGTGTGAGCTGCGACCAGGTGTGACCTGCGACCGGCTGCTGGTAGCCTGGCCCCGGTTACTCTGCCTCCTGCTCTCAGGAGGGTCAGGAGGAGCCAGTGCAATGCTGCCTGGTCAGTGACTCCTACAGTTGGCAGCAGGTGCAGGATCCAGTAATAATAATAACAGGGTGTATAATCATCACGCTGTTGTTATTAACAGAGATTCCAGCCCAGCCGGCGTGGCTCAGGGGTTGAGCGTTGACCTACGAATCAGGAGGTCACGGTTCATTTCCCGGGCAGGGCACATGCCCAGGTTTGGGGCTTGATCCCCAGTAGGAGGCAGCGGTCCATGATTCTCTCTCCTCATTGATGTCTCCATCTCTCTCTCTCCCTCTCCCTTCCTCTCTGAAATCAGTAAAAATATATTTTTTAAAATAGAGATTCCAGGCGCTCGGCCTGACGGTGAGCACACGGAGCCCGGATCTGCCCACGCCGAGCGCCTGGTCGTCGGGGACGGGGCTGCCTGGCAGCAGCTGGCCTGCCCGTGAGCTTCCAGGGCGCCGGCTGCCTGGACTTGGCACTGGGGAGGGAGCAGCTGGAAACCTCGATGAGGGTGAACTCTCTGCTCCTCATTAAAAAGGCCGACTTGCCCGTTGCCAAGGGGATGCCGTCTGGGGGCGGTGCCAGATCCCCGGGGGCCCGGGGAGTCTCCCCGAGCTCGGGCCCCACCGGCGCCAGGTGGTCAGTGCCAGCTGCTCACCTGCCCAACAGGACGTTGGCCTTGGACCTGGTTTTTGTTTTTTAAATATATTTTTATTGATTTCAGAGAGGAGGGGAGAAGGAGAGGGAGAGATAGAAACCTCAGTGATGAGAGAGAATCATCGATCGGCTGCCTCCTGCACGGACCACACTGGGGATCGAGCCCGCAACCCAGGCATGTGTCCTGACCGGGAATCGAACCGTGACCTCCTGGTTCATAGGTTGACGCTCAGCCCCTGAGCCACGCCGGCCGGGTGGACCTTGCTTTTGCTCTGAGTGCATCTGTGGACTTGCTGGTGCGCCTGTTACAAGGTGTCTGAGGCCGTGAGGCTGGGTAGGAGGAACATGGATGGGCACTGGCGCCTATGTTCCAGGGTTCGAGTCCCACCCGTGCGGATTCCTGGCTCGTGTCTCCTATCTCCCAAGCGCCCTCAGGTCTCAGCATCCTCATCTGAAATGTGGGGAGGATACTGTCCCCAAGTCAAGGAAACTGTTCAGAGGGCCCAGGCCCAGGGCCAGGGCCAGGCAGGGTGGCTGGTCAGTGGGTGGGAGCCGCCCCCGTTACTCCTGCACACGCTCCCAGTTCCTGTCGCCGTCTCGTCTCCTCCTTCCTCTCCACTTGCGCTCAAGTCGCGGACCCGGGGCACTGTCCCTGTTTGGCCACAGTCCCCGCTCCCTCCACACACTCTGATAACCTCTGATAGCCTCGGGGCGACGTGTCCGGGCTCTTGGGCATAATCGTGCCCACTTATCCGAGGTCGGACTTTCAGCCACTCGCCGCCTGGACCCCCTCCAGGAGCCGAGGTCAGCAGAGGAGCTCGCTCGGCGGCCCTGGAGTCCAGGCCCCGCGGTCAAGTGGGGGCCGATGGGAAGGAGGGGCGGCTGGCGGCTGAGGGGACAGAAGCCGGCAGAGCGGGCTCCGCGTGGTGGCCAGGGCTCTGTGTCCCACGCTGACCGTCCTGGGCGTCACAAGCGAGGTAGCCTTCGGGCTCCCGGTGACCCGAGTGTCGAGGCGGGATCACACCCGCACTCGGTTGGAGAAGGCAGGAGCCTGGCCGGCGGCTCCGTGGGTGAGCCTCTCTCTGAAATCAATAAAAATATATTTAAAAAGGAAGAAAGAGAGAGAGAGCTGCTCTCTCACGTCTCCTCTCCCCGTGTGCGTCACATGGTGGATTCGCGTGGCTCGGTCCTGTTCGCTGGGGAAAGCGCCTGCTTCTCCCCCATTGTCTTCTGGGCCTGGGACCGCGCGGGAGGCTGACCTCACTCCCGGCCGAAGGTCACCTTCCCAGCCTCCGCTGCTCCTACCCCGCCCCCCCAGGGCTTCCGGGTCCAGCCCAGCGTGGGGCCGCCCCTCCTCCTCCCAATTCCTTCTGTGACGGTGACGAGGGTGCACCTTCTGCCACAAGGTCCCTGTTTGTTTGTGAGGATTCCCCTGAGACGGCGCCTCTGAGCTTGCGTCTGAGCTCCTCACTCGGTCCCGGGGCAGAGCCAGGAGGCATCTGGGGACCCAGGCAGGCGCCCTGCCCTGCGTCTCCCCCGGGAAGAGGGCACCAGGGCGGGCACTCGGGGGGCCTTCCGTGCTGCTGGTGCGTTCACCCCATTGTCAGCTCCCCCAGACCTCCCAGAAGCTCCCCCCTCCCCGCCCCCCAACACCAGGGCGGGCAACTTCAGGAGCCGCAGTTCCCTGTCATCTGCTTCCGTGTCTCGGGCGGTCACCGCTGCCATGTGCAGGGCCGGGGTCCAGGGCGGGCGGTGGTACTGGGGGCCTCAGACTCTGTGAGCCCGGAGGCTCCTGACAACATGGCACCCTTCACAGTCACAGCCTGTTCTCCCTCCGCCTGCCGTTCTCGCGAGTGGAACCTCCTCGCTGTCGTCAGAGTTCAGCCCGTCGGGGGCCCTGTCGTTGGCGGGGTTGTCCCCAGGTCAGGCATTTGGGCTTCTCTCCCGTTTCTTCTCAGCTGTACATGCACCTGAACAGATGCAAGGTCACCTTCTTCGGCCTGTTTAGGGATCAATGGTTGAGCGTCGACCTGTGAACCAGGAGGTCAGGTTCGATTCCTGGTCAGGGCACAGGCCCGGGTTGTGGGCTCCATCCCCAGTGTGGGGCGTGCAGGAGGCAGCCGATCCATGATTCTCTCTCATCATTGATGTTTCTCTCTCTCTCCCTCTCCCTTCCTCTCTGAAATCAATCAATCAATTTATATAAAGTCGTTGCGTTAGAACCAGGACTTACGATGCTGCTGAGTGTGGGTTTGGGAGGTGACCCCGGGGACTGGAGCCCAGAGCCCGTGTCTGCGGCGGGCGCTCTGTTATAGGCGAGAGGCGCTGCAACGTTTTATGGTCAAAACTCAGGATGAGCAATCGTTACTGTTAGCAAGTGTCTGCCGTGCCCGGAGATGGCCAGGCTCTGCCCTGAGGGCGTCACTTCGTCCGTGCAGGAGCCCTGTGGTCAGTGTCCCTATCCCACGGACCCTGCGGCCCCCCTCCCGGCACAGCTCAGAGTGACCCGCCGGCCTCCTGTGGGTTCCCTGGGTGGGAAGGCAGCCTCTCCTGTCTCCTGCGTGGATGCGGAGCTGTGTTAAACCTCCGAGCCGCGTCACCGAGCACGTCGCGTGTGCACACCTCCACGCAGGGCACGCTGAGTGCGCAGCTGCTGCCGCTGGTGGCTGGTGGGTAAAGGTTTGCTGAATGTGAAATACACAAGAGTGTCTATT